AAAAAAAGTTATCAACTGTTCCGCATCACTGACGACAGAAATATAAGATCAACCTTGGGTGGCACGGAAATTCATTACCAATTGAACTTCCGTCGTGTGCACATCGACCCAGCGGAGCACAAGGAACGTCGTGGGATGCGTCCGCCTTAGTTTTAATTTGCGTGCGCCTTAGTTTTAAAGTTACGTGCGTCTTAACTTTAAGTTACGTGCGTTTAGTTTTAGTTTTAATCTCTGTAAATTCATTGTGAACGCATTCTGTACAAAGACAAGTTTATTGAACTTGGGTCGAAATTAGGAATCCCTCATCTCTTCTCTCCTTTCGTTCGATGTTACTATTGTTACTTTGCTCGTTCGACACTGGAGTCGAATTTCCAAGTTCGCCTTTCGCTTCACGTGAGTGTGCTCAGAGACAGATTTCCAGGAATAAACGGCACTGCATTCAGAATGGTGAATAGTCTGGCGTGAATTTCAATTCATATACGCAAAATTTGAAACGCTATATCTTGTGAACGGATTGAGATATCAATGTAAAGCAATGCACGTTTATAGGGCACACTCTATAAGTATAGTTCAGTTTTTTCTTTTTAAACAATAACAGATTTTGAGACGATGAACAACCTCCAAATAGAAAGTTTCGAAACGAATGGTCAGTTATTAAGAAACGTGGAAAATGAAATTTGGAAAAATGAAATTTGTAAGTGAATTCGACCGTTTGAAGTTGGATTCCATTTGAAACACATGTTATCCAGTGATCAGTTGTAAAGAAGTTTCGTTGAATGTTCATTTAACGAAATACAAATCATTTCATTTCGTGAAATATAAATCGTTTGTATTAAAAACTATGTATCAAGAGCCTTAGAATTTTAACATATTACATGCAGAAGTCTATCGTGAATCTATAAAATACAGATTTGGTGGATTTAAGTTTTTTCTTGCAATTAGTTTTATTTATCTACACCATTTGCTTATGTCTATCTATATACTTATCTATATTACTTGCTTATGTCTGACCATGTATGGACTTATACCTAATCTAACATACTTCGATAGATGGCGACACATGACAACTTTTTACGCTGCTTCTTTGAGACGTATATAGATGGCAACACCTCCGCAAACAAAGATGACAATGTATAACAAAAACAGATCTTTGTTCGTGATAGACACAGACAAATTTTTGTTTCGCAACAGACAAGGAAGACAATAGTGCGCAAGAAGAACAGATATATGTAATGTAATAGATAAAGAGCGCAATAGTGTACGACAGGGACACTAAATTCATTTTGTGGGATAGAAAAATTCAGAGGTGCAGGTGGAAAAATTACATCTGAGGGAAATTTATGGGTTACGAAATTAATTTTGTGGGACAATGAATTTCGTACTAGCCCAGAAATTAGCTTTGTGGGAAATTCTTAGGCTACGAAATTCAGAATAGAATTTTCAGTAGAATATTGGTACAAAATCTCAAACATGCAATAGATATAATCATTTTTCAATGGTAACAGTTCTTTTAACTAATTGTAGTATTTATTAAAACATGAACATAACTATGACACAAAAATGTACATTATTGCAGATCTAACGGGGTACACATGTAATATGTACAGTATCGAGTTCAATGGCCAAACGAAATCAATCAAGTGATCAGAGTTTTTTGCACAAGTAAGGTATTGCTGTGGTGAATATTTATAAAATTTAAACACGTGGAAGATGTTCTCCCTCTGGGTGATAACCAGTCTCATCAGCGACGTAATTCACAGTGTATGCAACATTGGTCAGTGGGTCGACGAAGGAGAAACTACCGCGAACTCTCAAGAATTGTTCATCGGTTCCACCCTTGACTAATTCTGCAGTTTCCTCTCTGGCTTGCCCATCAGAAAGTTGGAAACCATAGCTGTAGCCGCCAAGACCAACGTTATCAGAAGGAGTTTCTTTAACGATGACTGTTTGCTGAGGTACTACTGCTGGTGGAGCTGCTACGGCAACAGCTACGAGGGCGAAAAAAGCAACGATCTGAAAGAAAATGGATAGTATATTGATTTAGAGAAAATACGAAATTTTAAAATTTATATTGTACAATTGAGAACGATTCTATGTGCGAAAGAAAGAATAACATTACTGTATTTTCAAGGAAATCGGATTTGAAAATTTAACATTGTACTGAATAGAATATACAGAAATACGTGAAAAATTAAACAAAACAATTAAGTTTCGCAATTAACTATTGGCAAGTTAACTATTTTTGAATTACATATTTATATTTAATTATTTGTTTTAGGGTATTACTGTAATTGATATAGACACGGTATAGATAATAATAACATAGATTACAGTTCAAAGTTAAGAAATAAAATTTTAAAAATTAGCAAATTGTCATCCTGTTCAACCTATTCTCAATTTGTACGTATATTAAATTATTTTATAATTTGTTGAAACTTGCAAACCTCAATTGTGATACCTACGGTATTCATTTTGTTGAGAGACGTGTATGGCTGATTTGTCTCGGTTGGAAGACTGATGTCGATACTGAGAATCATCTCGAATTATATAGTGGATCTCCTTCTGCTAAAAATTGCATGATTTTACGATATACACCTTTCACCTTTCCTTCGTTACGATGGTTTGGCCTTCGTTGTAAAAGTGTGTCGGTTTGCCGAAATTGATTGAAAGATTTGAAAAATTTATTTAAAATAAATTATATATAATATATATATTTATATACTCGTGATGATGACTTTAGCAACTGACTATATCATTTTAAATAATATTAAGAGAAATGTTATTTCTTGTTTAAATGGAACCACACAACTTCTTTGATTTCTTCGGTCATTCTGTCGTATAAATTAAAGTCGTCGTAAATCCGATACTTTCACATTATGGATTAGACATATCAAGGTTTTATCATTATTTTACAAAAATGTTACAAAAATGCTTTACTTTAATGATTTATTTAATTTTAATACGATGACAAAGTAATAAAAAATAAAAAGTTAGCGTAACATGTAATTTAGCTTTTTTTAAACAAATTTTACTCCTCAAACAACGAAGTCTCTCGATGAAAAATTTAATTTTGAAAACTTAATCTTTTAGCGTAGAAAATCTTTTTATAGAAAAACTTTTAGCGTACGGTATTCTTTCTTGAGATCGATATCCTAATCTTGAAATAAGTATACTAAAAAGAACATTAACAAAATACTGCAATGACCTTTAAGAATGAAACGATCCTTAACGTAAAACGAAGAATGTAATGCAATATGTGCTTTTATAAGTATGTCGATCCTCTCTCTACTACTAGATTTTTAAAAATTAGAGACTAAATTACATTAAAAACGAAAAGCAGTGTTAGAATCATCTTTCAATTAATTTGTACATTTTACGTGAACAATTTTAGAGTACAATCCAAAGATAATCGGTTTCTAAACGTTTGTCGATTTTTAAATCGATTCTAAATATCGTGTAGTTTAACCAATTTTTGCAACACGTATCATTACAACTCCATCATGTTAAATGTACGCAATCTCTTCGTAATGTCTCATCATTACTACGAACACGTAGTAATGGTCAATAGGTAAAATCATTGTTCTGAAGAAAAATATGTTTTCCTTTGCCGATTCCTATTTTATATTTTCTGTTTGTTCCAACAAATGATTTATAAATTTATTCAATTGTGCGCTTACTCTGTGTACAAGTCTTTTTTGTTTACTTGATTTTATTTTATGCATTTTTATTTTTCCCTAAATTATAATTAACTTCTGTCTGTGGTCATTTCCTTCCATCAATATGGATAAAATTGATACGATTAAAGTATTAATATTAATTAATGTTTCAATAGAGAAATCTGTATGTTTTTAAATACATTGCTATATGTATTGCTTATAATTGTTTGAAAAAGAATAGAGTCTATATTCTTCATAAATACTGACATTGAAAAATAATATTGCAAATGGTACTTTTTAAAATTTTCTCTTGGAATCAATTGCCATTTCCTTGTAATAAATCGTCTGGGTATTAATTAATACGAATATTGATCTTATGGAAATGTGTCATCTGAATATTAATTATACCAAGGTAATAAAATTGAGAAAATTGCAATAGTAAATCGATTTGATATCCTTCCTTTTAAAATTAAATTAAACTTCATAACTTGTGAAATTATTTTACTAGTTCTATATATTATATCATATTTTGATAATAATATATAGTATTCCTTTGATATTATTCATTTAATGTATTATAATTTCTCTAACACATTCTACTGATTCTGTAATTTTATAATTACAGAAAAAGATACATTTACGTAATTATTATCATATTTTCATATACGTGTAATTTTATAATGCCAGTTGTTTGATGTTATTCTACTCAATGGCAGATAGAAGAGAATTTAAAAATCCAAAATTCAGGATTTCACATCGAATAATGAGAAATAGAATGTGCCGACTTCAATCCAATATAAAAGTGCAGAGAATTAATCGACGAGAAAGAAAGGAGAGATGACAACGAGAGGGAGAGAGACATAGATCAGGGAAATATTTAAAACAGAAATTTATTTAAAAACTAAAGTACAGCTTCAGGCGGGGATGTGTTCACCCTGCGGTTGGAAACCATTCTCGTCTGCCACGTAGTTGACGGTATATCTCACGTTGGTCTGAGGGTCAACCCAGGTGAAGCTTCCACGAACAGCCAAAGATTCGTTCTCGGTTCCAGCGTTAAGTAATTCGGCGGATTCTTGGTGAGCTTGCCCATTGGAAAGTTCGTAACCATAGTTATAATGACCGAGACCAATATTGTCAGAGGGTGTTTCCTTGACGAGCAGCACGTCTTCCTGGCGGCCTTGGGGAGCAGCAGAGGCAGCGACGATGACGAGGACGAAAGCGATAAGCTACAAAGAAGAAAAAAGAAATCAATTGACGCTTGTCTTGTCAATTAACTTGTTTCAATCAATTAACAGATGAGGCGAACGTTTTTGTTGAATCTTGTTGATTAAAAAAGTACACAGGAGTGATTGAAGACGGTGAAAGTTATTTTAAAATTTTTTCAAAATTGTTTCATAATTGATTGTCGAACGTGATACGATGGAAACGAAATAGTCATTTCAAGATTAAAGTAAATTTATAAGATTTTCAATGCGAAATAAAAATGATTTTAAAGTGCACGATTATTTTTTGCCTATCTTCAGTAAACACTATGTTAATTCGTCTTATTTCATAATTGTTTCTTTAATTGTTCCGCGCAATTCGTCACTATCTTCCGGTGGCAAGAAGGCACGTGTGTTACATAAAGAGATATCCGCTACCAACTGATTTAGTTAAAATAATTCTACAAACATATTTGCATGCCAAACAATAGGCAACGACGAATTGTAATTGCTGGATCGTTGTACGTTATCGTTGTATCGTTAATGATACATAACGATCCCGTGCACGCTAATTGCACGCTCGTAACTGTTGGATCATCGGCGATCTCTTACGATCGTTTCCTATTTCAAGAATAAAAACCACCAATTCGAAGGAAACAGAAGCTTCCATTTTTTTTCTGTTTGCAATTTTAAATCGCGATTTTACACCTTGAAGTTGCTCGAAAGTCTTGGAATACGTTGAATTTTCAACCTCTAATTGACATCATTGAACGTCGGCAGCTACAAGAAATTCAAATTCTATTGAATTGCTCAATTTTGTAACTTTTAATTTGACTTAATTTTATCACTGATCTTTGTCAGGGAGAATATAAAATTCAAAAAAATACAAATACAAATATAAATTGCTATAGTTATCTGTGCTCGCTTGAGGATTAATATTCAGAATTGAGACTAGCATTTACTTTCCATATTCATTAAATAACGAAATGCTTTCATTTCAAGAGATTATTTTGTAATTATTAATACGTTAACACTTTACAGATTCGTTGCGTAATGTATCATTGAATTTCCCTAATTTCGAACACAGATACAATGCTTGTACTTCTAAGGACTTTCAAACGCAGCGATGTATATATGAAGAAATCCTTTCCAATCGAAATTATATACAAAATGAAGATAAGTGAAATTCGAGAATGAAACCACGATGATACACTTTCGACGCCCGAGTTAGTACTCGAAGGAAAACACGCACCAGCTTCATGATTCGTTGTTTTGGTTTCGTTTGAACTTCTTTGGATTGTCGAGGACGACGTATGTACAGGTGTTGACCTGAGATGAGCTAGATTACGATACTGTTTCAATCCGTGATTCAGAGGACCGTTATATAGCCGGATTTCCAAATGAATTTTGCCCCTTCCAAGGAGGAACCAGCCTCCCAAAATTCTTCGACCAAGATGTCGAAATCATCGAATGGCATTGGTCGACTTGGCGGTGATAAAATGATGACCGACAAAGGAAGGGGCGGTGAATGCCAAGCAAGAGGAACAGCAGCCGGCAGCGAAAATCGTGCGCCGGTTTCACCGTAGATTCCTCACCTGGCCAAACTTGGGTGAAACAATGGATGCGGTTGATGTCAAAAAATCCTTTTGGAAAATATATAGGTATCAGCGTTTCGGGGAAGTTGAACACGCAGAAGATAATTATTTTAGAAGATGTGAATTTATGGATAGTCTGGAGAAACGTGGGAATATTCAGAAGAGAAAGAAAATCTTTAGAGTAGAAGCAGAAAATGAAAATATTGTGGACTGTTACAATAATCAAATTTGTCTAGTCAGTTTTCCAGATTATTCTTCGATCTCTTTGTTTTTACTTTCTAGTAGAAATATTTGTAAAAAAAATTGTCATTTCTTCCAAAGATAAACTGCCCCCTAACATATAATTTGAATGTTCACAATAATTGTATTACAATCGAAAGGTAAAATTGAAAAAGAAAATGGCCAGGTATGGTACAATCTAGATATTATACAATCGATGGGACGTTCCTTTTAATTGAAAGCATGCATTGGCGAAATCTTTCAAGAGGTTCTTGGTATCAGTATAATTTATTCTAAATTGGATTTAGCCCGCCGTTACGACACGTGGATGCTCATTCACCGTCGTTTACATTTTTTACAAATTGATCGCCAATCGATGCCATAATATTCGGAGGTCACGCAAGCTAGTATTCATCTCTTCCGAAAGGTGAATCTCGATGGTACACAGCAAAAGTCACGTTCGATCTTCTCGAACAAACACAGCCGATCAGAAGCATAATGTCTGATTTTATCGTTGACTTTTTACAAACCAATGACACGATAGGGTTAATTGTGATGGACGAATTATGCCTGCGTCGAAAATGGCCATTTTATACTTTCGCGATATATCTTTCGCAATGCTGTTAACGAAGAATGGAAAGTAAATTTTGTAGGTTTATATTAAATAATAATATTAAATAATAATATTGTGTAATGTTATTATAATTACAATATGTAATGTTTATTTTAATATCTATTGCATACACCAATGAAATCAAATGAATTAGAAATCTCTTACTTCTTCTCAAATTTGATCATCTTTATTTTTCAAAGTTGATCATCAATTGATAAAAATTTCCAATTTGACTTTTAATGATTATTGAATGTAATCAATTGCAATTCATACATTAATTTAATTTCACACATTAATAATTAATCCTCGTGATTATTAATAATTAATAATTCATATCCATTCATAATTAATAGTTCAAAATCCATTAATGATTAATAATTCATGTTATTATTAATAATAATATAACATTAATAATTAATGATTAATAATTCATATTACTATTAATAATTAATATAATATATTTTATTATATGTTATATTATTATATAACATATAATAAAACAATACAAACAATTCTTCTAATATAATACAATAATAATAAAATAATAAAACAATAATATAATAATATAATAAAACAATACAAACAAATCTTCTAAATAAAACAATATATTGAATATTTTATGCAAATAATCTAAATAAAATTTTACCCAAAAGCTATATTTATCATGCAACAGTTTAATATTGCGATTATACTAAAGTAATTGCTGTACATGCAATCTGACAGTACATCCAAATTTTTCACGAAAATTCAATTCTCTGACGACAGATCTGAACTGGATAACTATCTTTGCGAATTTCTAGACTCATTCTTTCATTCAGCGGCACGTTTGTAAAATTATGGCGCAAATCGTTTGATGAAATCTTCCGGTGACATCGCGTTTTCACGGACGATACTCGTTTATAAATCTTGCAAATATATTCAAACCCACAAGGATTAAAAATAAAGATCGCGAGGAAGCGTGTCTCGTGTAGAGTGATTACGTCAAGTCGACCTTGTTGTGCGTTCTAAGTTGCGCGTGGAATGCCGAAGCAGAATAAAAGCATCCTTCGTCCTCTGATTCCTTAATTTCCTAATTTTTTCTTTTCCTGATTTCTTCAATTTTTTTTTTTAAGTTCTTTCTTCTTTGATTTCTTAAGTTCCATTTCTATTTCTAGTTTCTTCAATCTTCATCTTCTAAATTTATCCTCCTCTGATCTTCGTGATTCTTTCAGAGCTTCTTTTCTCTTATATCCTCTAATTTTTTAATTTATCTTTCTCTAACTTAAAAAATTTTCTAAGCTTTTCAATTTCTCTAATTTTCCTCACTTTTCCAATTTTTTTTTTTTTCTCTAGCTTCTCCAAATACAACAACAACAACAGCAAAACACAATACAAGGGATGTGATAGAAGAAAGAAGATACGCGTGTAAGTTCGAAAAGAAAGTCAATGGATATTACATAAGCGACGGAGGCCTTATGGCATAAGGTTTTATGCTAATGTTCGAAAGAGCGAGCATCGTTGAAGAAAAGGAACGAAACAACGACGTGGAAAGAGAAGAAGATGAGTTCTGGACGCGAGAAGATCTATGTCCTCTGTGTCACGATTTTTTTTTTTTTTTCTTAGTCTTTTTCTTTCTCTTCTTTTTTTTTTTTTTTTTCTTCCTTAGGATTTTATATCCTTGTAATTGATCAAAAGCTACGAAGAATGATGAACGACGTGTAATCGTAGAAGCTCGTTTCGTTAAATTCTCATGTGGTTACGTTCGCGTACTCGACGTTCTTAACACATTAAACAATTACTCTTGACCATAGACAATTGCAAAAATATTTCCAAGGAATCATATACTATACACAGGTTTCAGTAAAGAGAGTGGAATAAACAGTAATACAATTATTATATTGTTAATAATGCTAGAAAAAAGATCCTTTTTGTATAAATTGCTATTTATATTTATTTAATAACTAATAATAAACTAATACTTTATTTATTTGTAACAAGGGAACGTATTGATTTATATCTTCAGGTGACACACATACAGATTGAATTTTAATCTCCAAACGGTATAAAAAGGAATACAATGAGATGTTTCGTTTTCACTTTGACAGTGCATGATTGAAGATGATCGATACTTTCATTGACAGTGGCCCTCATAGAAACTTGTTGAGTCATGTATATTTGAAAACTTGGCATTTAAGATTCTCGAAGCAAAACTGCTGCTGTATTTGTTTAGGCTAAAATTGGTACAAGAGTGTGCTAACACGTTACTTTGTTTCTGAACACAAGTTTCACAAAATAAATATTCGATAGTAAAATAAAGATTAGAATAAATCTAATAAATAGTAGAAGATTTGTTGCATTGCAAGATTATTATATGTATTATGATAGACGTGTTAGAATGATTCTTTTTGTATAAACTAAGTAAATTGATTCATTATAATTATAATTTTGTTAAATTTTAATACAGTGTAAAATTACTAATTTAGAATTATTTATAACTAGTTCATAATTAACTTAAAAATTCATTAGATATATATACATTTTATAATTTTCAATTATCCTTTATATTCTATTCAATTAATATAAATATTTATTATATGAAATATACTTATTCAATTTTT